CCCCACCCAGCCATCCACCCATCCACTCATTCCCCACCCACCCATGCACCCACTCATCCACACATCCACCCACTCATCTACCCATTTCACCCATCTACCCACTCATCCACCCACTCATCCATCCATCCATCCATCCATCCATCCATCCATCCATCCATCCCTTATCTCATTCTACAGAGTTTGCAGAGGCTCCTGAGAATGTATATAACAAATATACACAAATAAAAATAATTTAATATCAGGGAAGGTACAGACAAGAAATGAACATCAAGGCCATGAGATCTAGACATGAAAGAAAGAACATCCCCTCTGTCATGGGTGACTTCTTTGTACTCTGGAGATGTTAAAGTTTCACTTGTTTAGTCCACATTAAATGATTTAACTGAATTAAGCATTCGATGCACCAGGCACTTAATAAGATATGGTTTTATTTGTTATACAGAGAGGGTAAGGAATTACATGGTAAAGCCTCCTTCTAGCCTGTTTTCCCACCAAGGGCCCTGCAGCAGGATAGTCTGACATGCAGGCATTCTTCCAGAGGATGGATGGTTAAACTAGAGACTGATGAATAGGCTCAAGTTCAACGTCATAGTGTAAGAGGTAGCCACAGCCTTCTTCCCGTCCTTGAGAATGAAGCCTTCCTGTCTATCCCTCTGGTCAGGGTCCACCTCCCTCAGGCTGTAACCTCTCAAGTGGGCCTTGCTGTCTTCATTCCTGACACCCAGTGTCATGAGTGTGGTTTTCTTGATGATTTATTATTGACTCATCTGTTTTATTTTGCTTAGGGGGGATCAAATTTCGTAATGGTAAAATAGCAAAACCTTCTTGTGGCCAGGTTTTAATAACCAGCACAGAGTTGTCTGTAATCTGTTGTCTGGTTTATATGAAAACATTCTCAACATCTAAGTGAAAACACAAGGTGTGTCTCCCGTTTCATCTTTCCTCAAGGTGAGGGAATCACAGTTGTAGTCAGCCAGAAATTCCCCATATGCCATTCTACCTAGTTACTGAAATTGAGCGAAAATTCGTATCCTGAGGTTGTTTGTAGCTAAAATTAGAAAAGGAAGTCAGTCCACTACATGATTCCCTTTCCCTCAATAAGGAAACAAAATGAAATTCTCAAGGAATACACACACACACACACACACACACACACACACACTTTCTCAAGGGAGGCACTGTGGTTTATCTGGGGGTATCATCTGGAAAGCACAGTAATGTAGAGGACAGCGTCCTCGTTGTCATGATATGGTAACTACAAGAGTCGGCTTCATGAAACCCTTCGCTATCATTGCCTTTGATGAACGTCTACAGCATGAAATCAAAGTGCAGATCCTATGTGGGACCCCAGTCATAAGATCCAAGTATGTACTCTTCTAGTGCTCTAGGTTTTAATTCAGTTTTATAACCTGAAACAGTTGTACAGAAATGAAGGGATTGCCTATCTTTCCATTCTGTAAATTTAACTTTTAAAAATAGGCCCCTTATAAGAATCGGGTCTCAGTCAAGATCAAGGTCATATAATGTGAAGTACAGGTCTTCTGGGGATGTACTGACGGTGAATCTAAACTTGAGGGGTTGCAAATGAACAAGTACCTGCTATGTGATGAGTTAGGGATGTTAACCCTGCAAATGCCGAAGCAGAGCAGTCACCCACAGAGAGACTGAATCTTACTTGACTCATCTCTCTTCTAATGGCAAGGCATCTTGTTTTCATTCTCCCTCCGTTGCTCATTCAGGGACATTTGAAGCGTATCAAATATGCGAAAAACAAGATCCATAGGAATCCTAAATTATACATTAAAAATTAACTTTTTCAAAAGGATTGTTTACTTCTAGAACGACTAAGGGTTCAGTTTGTCGTGAAACATTTTGTGCCCTGTAGCCATTCTTAGGCACAGGGTGCTGGGATGACAGGAAGACAGCAGGGAGCACGGGAGAAACACACCACAAGCGACGGACATTGATTGATCTCCTGCCCTATTTGAGACACTTCCTGAGATAACAATGTGAAATAAGAGTCCCAGTATTTTTTTTTTTCATTTTTAGAGCATAAATTATGGCTGTGGGGGCAGGGGCCTTGGAGCTAGTCCTCCTGTCCCCACTCGGGTGGCCCTTACGAGGGCCATGGAGCCTCCAGCCTTCCATGGAGCAGAGTTTGAAAACCAGCGAATTCTAATCCCATCCCCTTGGATTTCAGTCTAGTGGGAGAAGGCCATGTTGTAAATGAGACAAGATCCTTAATACCATAAAAGAAGTCCAAGCACAGGGATGCACATGCCATTGGAGAAATCCTGCGTCTGTACTTGGTTTCCTTCCTGCCCTTATCTGTCTGATACTTGAGGGTACTTGGTACCATATTCACAAGGAATTTGTGAGCTCTAACAGAAAAACAACTAGTATGGGGCTGGGTTAATGTGACATGAGGTAGAATTGCTGTACTTTTCTCTTTTCTCTGAAAATGCTGAAATGAAAAGTATAAATATGCTGTTGAAAAGAAAAACTTAAAGTGAAATCAAGAAAAAAAAAATTGAGGGATGCGTGGGTGGCTCAGTCGGTTAAGCATCTGCCTTCGGCTCAGGTCATGATCCCAGGGTCCTGGGATTGAGTCCCACATGGGAGCTTGCTTCTCCCTCTGCTTCTTCCCCTGCTTGTGCTCTCTCTCCTTTCTCTCTCTCTGACAATTAAATAAATAACGTCTTTAAAAAGAAAAAAGAAAAAGAAAAAAAATTGAGAAAAATAAAGCCTGCAGCACAAGCAATGAGTCTGTGCCCTTATGGTCCCAGGTAGGGCTTTTGTGCAAGTAAGGTATTGAGGATGGCATGTCCACTGGGTCATGATCAACTAGAACACAAACGGGACGGGCCCAGGGAACTATTTTTAGTTGAATATTTATATGGTTACCTGAAATACGGAGTCATTTTTTTTCCTTGTGAATTTTATGACCTTTGGGACTAAAGAGCTAAATATCTTTGTTTTGGTATCTTTTCTTCCAGGCTGACTTAGACCCTCAAAGACCACCAAGACCAGAAGTAAAAATCACGAGTCCGCAAGAAAATGAGAACAACGAACAAAACGAGGACTATGCTGTGGTAGCATAGATAATCTTTAAAAAAGAGAGTATATTGATTATCAGGAAAATGAAGGGTTATAATACTTGAGTAATAAGGATGTAGTTACTGCTGAACATAATGTGACAATATTGAATACTACCTGTGGGATTCTAAGATTAGAGGCTTAATGGAAAGACTAGATAATTTTGAGTAGCTGCTAAAGGAGAGTGGCTTCTTTTCATGGGATGTATTTGTAAAAGTCATTTAGAAAAATTAAGTAAGAGGGACGGAGGGACAGTTGCACAGGATGACAATTGGCCACTTGTCTTGGTAAGTGATGAAAAAATAGAGGACCACACCTTGTCCATAAATTTAGAAGTGAGGTTATTAAATGGGAGCTTATTCTAAAGCACTTATCTAGGAAGGCATAGAATTTTAAAGAGATGATAATAGGAAAGCATGTACTTTTTTTTTTAAAGCAATAAACTCTTGAATAAACAAATTATAATTTAGTTTCAGAGACGGCAGTAGATTGAAATGTTTCCTTGACTTGTTGATATTCTTTCCTTTCTTCCTCCTTATCCCAAATCCATCTCACGCAAATTAAAAAGAGCACATTTTGGAAGGAGGAAGTCTCCATTCAGTGTGTTAGTGATTCATCTGGGCACCCCCCTGTCCCTCAAGTGCTTCAGGTTTTCATCCTCATGGCTTCAATGATACGCTCAGGAAGGAATTTTACCATGGAACACCCAATTATAGTCACAGCCTGGCTGGAGAATTTGCAAGTTCTGATATCCTCTGGACTTTCATGGATCTAGTCTACCTTCACCAATAATGGCCATCTCTTCTCCATCACGTTACTCTGTTAGAAAACTCAATATTGGCTAGTCTAAAGATCGAATTCTCTCCAGATTTTTATAAAAGAACAACAACAACAAAAACCCAAGACTGCATTTGACTTGTTTTTTGCCTTATTTCTATTAGGATTAGCCTTGTCATATTTTTGCCCCTAGGGATATCAGCAAATGTCTATTTTAATGGCCAGTTATATTTAAACTTTCAAGCAGATTCCTTCCTATATAATTAGAAGCCCTCTGATAGAAACTGTTGAAAAATGTTTAAATTGTCATGATGAAACCAGTTTCTTATTACAATTTTGTGGGCTAATTAAATGAACCCACAATGGCCTTGTTAGGTATATATGGGGAAAACATAATTGTATTAGTTTTCTGAGTTTTTAAGAGATGATGCAGGTCTTCCTTAAATATAGAAATAATCTATTTTTCTCATATTGAAGAATATTTTTGTTAATTATGTAGATGTTATAAATTTGAAAGGAAACTTCTAGTGCTTTTGTAGAATTCATTATTAATCATAAGGTTAAAAGATTTTCTTCCCCTCCAGGCTTCATAACCAACCATTTGGAATAAAGGTAGTTATATCAAGCACTTGATAATACTACAGAAAATGAATGTATTTTTTTTCCTAGCAGCTATTTTAATATTTTCTATAAATAAGAAACATAAACGGAGACTACAACGTAACAGTATTGGAAAGAGATGGTGATATAAGGGTATATTGATCTGGGAGGATGAATTGTGAATGGGTGTTCTATATTTCTGGTATAAAATCTAGATTGTGCTTACTACAGGTAGGCTTATTTTTCTCAAAGGGGACAATATGAAACGCTGTAAACTACAAGCAACAATCTTGTGTTGCTAGGGAGATAGGCTAGCTGGTTTTTTGATATTAAATTCCCATGCCATTATTGGGCCTGGGGTTAATGATGTTCAATAGTTTATAGAAATCAGGAATGAAATGCAAGAAATTATAACTAATTATCAAGGTGATTCTTTCACTTTTCTTCCTTTAATGAGTTTCTCTTTTTTCCTTCTTTAAAAGAGATCTTGTATTTTTTTTTTTCTAATGTTCCTCATTATACTATAGAGCTTAGGTTTTCAGGACCTTTTTAAGAGTCATCTCAGTAATCCCAGTGTTGTTTTACATGAACAACAAAATATACAAACACTTCAGGAAGATGACAGGCCACAGTTAACTCTAGCAAAAAATGGAAAAAATCGGGATATAATTCTTCTCTTGGATGTGCATATTTTACCACCTGTTGACAAGACATATTGTGACCCATCTTGAGGGGATGAACAACAACTCATCACCTTAAAACTGTAAACACATACTACTAAAAAAAAAGAATGAAATATGTTGTCTAACCAAGGAAAACATCATTCACAGAGAATGGGAAGCGTGAACATCATTTTGAGGATGACATTGGCACGAAGAAGGAAAGCTGATTCACCCCCCATGTGTGGACGTGTTCTCTGTGGGAGTCGTGGTCTCCGTGGCAGGCTAGCTGCACCAGTTAAGCTGGACTCACAGACAGATCTGGGGAGCATTTATGTGAGTGAGCAGAAGAGATCTTGGTCAGACTGCAAGGATTGTTTCCAGCAGAGAGGATGCTGTGACAAACTCACGTAGCTCTGATGTGCTAGCCAGTGGAATGCTTCTCTATGTCAGCTCTTGGTGAGGCTGTGGGTACAGACCCCCTCGTTCTAGTTTTATGGAACTCGTTTCTCAAGCTTAATTGGATTGTAAGACATTCGTAAACAACTGGTTTCTTAGTTGAATTGGAACATTAGAGTTTTGCAGAGCAAAATACAGATTTTTAGCTAACGTCATTTTCATGCTAAGGACATCATCTCACTCAGTAGCTTCTGTTCAATATCTGTTGAGCATCCATGGATTTCTAGTTACACAGCATGATATTATGGCCATGTGATAACTTTTTACTCATTGTTTTTCTCTATAGCCAGAGAATGACTTTCCCCTTATTAAGACATTGCTTTTCCCCTTATGTGTCCTGGAGAATATTCACATGCCAGACTCACAGGAAGAACATGATACTCTCATGCCTCCCGTATTATTCTGAGAGTGTTGGTTCCTGCTATGGTCTGTAAAGACAGAACCATCCCATCTCTATGTGGCTCAGAGTCCATTAGATAGCTCTGCGGGCTCACAGTTTTGAAGCCATACTAATGTGAACTTATTCATGCTAGCTTTTCCAGTGTATAGCTCATAAACCAACATCCTGGAAAATTTTGATAAATGACCTATCTTACACACAAAGAATAAAGTTCATTCACCTAGGAAACATCTGTGTATTCAGGATTGTGGCCACAGAACATCAGGAAGGCTTCTTTGTGTTATTAACTGACTCTCCTAAAGAATTAGCTCTGTCCTTTGACTTTTGCTCAATAAGTAGCAATGCAAAATTTTTAAAAGCAGATTAAATTAATAAAGAGAAAGCATCCCATGTGAACTGTTGCCAATCTGAACAGAAAGAGAATATATAGATATTCACATATACATATCAAATACTTCTACAGATGCACTCACACACTTTATTGAATGGGCCTCCTGAGGCCCTGCGTTATTAATAGAATAAGACTCTTTTTGAGAGAAGCAATGTGTAAAGAGAGGAAATGCTAAGAAATGATCTATATCATGGTGCTTTAAAAATTGTTTCCTGTAGGATTTAAAAGATTTAAAATTTTCAAAGTAAGAAAGCTACCGGAATTCTAATGAAAAACTTATTCTATGAAGGGGTGATTGCAGATAGATAGATCGGTCATCATGTTTTCCTGACCTAACGACAGAGTACAGTCTCTTACTTCTTTGTTACCAGACTTAACTACCATATGCGTTAGGTGCAGAATATTTCACACCAACAGAGACTCTGTCAAAAGGTTATCACTGTTGGTGAATATATGTACGTGATTTACAGCAATGCATAGAGGACTCTCTTTGGTACCAAGTAGTGAGGTGTACTACAAATAGAATACAAGGCTGACTTACTGTTCTACCACTTTATCTATAATGTTCTAATTCAGTGCAGAAGCTTTGTAGTGTCCCTGAGCAACTGTCATATCCTGGAGTGGTAACATTTTCTTGTTTTCTTTTTCCTTTTTTGTAAGGTTAGTCTGTTTCTCTAAGGTGACAAGCACGTGCAGTTCTTTGTTATTAAATATCAATCTTGTAAATACTCTAAGATTCTTGCTTTCCAGAAATTATCCCAGTATGGAAATGGGTCTGATTTTTGTTCTTACCACATAAAATTTGCGTATTTCCTACCATGAAGTCTAAGTGACTCGGAGAGAGCATGAAAGTGTGTCCCCACATGTCGATGAAGAAGGAAAACTCATTTTGGAAGAGGCATGACATCCTGTAAAATATGGGGAATTAGGAAGGGATTTTAAAATGTCTGGATAACCGTAAAGCATTTGTAAAATCAGGAGGTGAGTAATGGAGCTCCGTTGACTTGAGCCAACAACAGACTTAGCTTCAGTCTACAAATGGGACCACATGAATTCTCTGTAGTTTCTCTGTAGTTGATCAGTTTAAACCACACAGTCTAATTGAGTGACTGAGTTATTGCTGCAAATGTCATGGCAAGTGGGAGGAGGGAATGACCAGAGTCCGTATCCGAAGAAGTTTGGAGAAAACTCACCCTGGTTTTTGCTTCGCTGCTTCTTTTGTGCCTTAAATCCTTACTATGTACAATGATAATGGGTGATTATTGATGTAAGTAAAAGTTAAGTTGTGCTTATCATTTTTATGTGATTTATGTTTAGAACTTCTCTTTGTAAGGAAAATTATTTGTGCTTTGATCAAACTATGAGCATTAGTTTTTTTTTAAATTTCTGTATCAGTGCTCATTCTGAAATATGAAAGTTTACTGTATCTCTTGAGTAAATAGATCTTTGTTTTATTTAACTAAAATGTGTCTGGCTGTTTTATTGTTTGTTTACAATGTTGTGTGGTTATATTTCATTTACCAATTCTCTGCATGACGTTTTTCACAAATGCAGTAGAAACTTTTTGATTTAAACCATGTGGAAATTCAACACACCAAACAATACTTCTGTTTCTATTTGGCATGGATATTAAGCTTCATTATGTAAAGAAAAATTGTTTACATCTTCATATACATGTTGTTTAGTTGATGAAATTTTCAGGTATATTAAAAAACATTGTTTTTTCTTTTATGAAGTGGTATTAGGGAAACACAGGTCCAAAGTTTTTGTTATGTGATAAATAAAGATATCTTTAAAAACAGAACAAATTGCCCAACTTAACACATATTTTGTGTAGATATGGATATGGGAATAAACTTACAATTGGTTTTTAAACTTACAGTTTTACAAAGAGTTTAGCTAAAATTCGGCTTCCGATTGTGGGCGAGTCACCTGCTTTCATTCTACTGAATTAAAGTCATTTTATGCTTTCCCTTCATGTTTGAGAAACAAAGGTCGTTAAGGACGAGCCCTCTTGATACGTAATAACAAAATATGTGGGTTGAGGTACACAGCTGAGCATAATACCTCTTGAGCAGTTGACCCAAGTATCTTTGTTATTCTATGAGAGTGAAAAAGGAAACCTCACCAATAAAGAAGGCATCTGGATTGCCGAAGTCAAATCTTACACACTTCCTACAACCAACGATTGTCATTTCTACAAGGTATTGTAAAACAACTAGCCATGCACTGCTTATAAAATTCTTATTTATGAGAATAAACATACAGCTTTTCTGCAGGTTTCCAAGTGTTTCCCCCCCTCCCCCAATGGGACCTTAATCTCTTGAATGTTTGTTAGGATCTCTCAAATGCCCTCACAAACTCAATCTTCCATTAAAGAGACAAATGATGCAGAGACATCCTGCACTTCTCTTTCCATTTGTTATTGGTTTCATAATAACAAAAATGATTTTAAAATGCAAAACAAAAACAATACACATCAGGTTTAAGACTCGAGGCGATGCCCCTTGGTTTTACTGTATTTGTTCTTTGTGGATACAGAGAAGCGTGAGGATTACTGTGGTTCTCCCCTGACTCTGGCTGCTAATTTATTGGTTTGTCTTCCTTCTCTTTGAATCTTTGTGGTTTCCCTGAGCAACCTCACATGCAGTCATGATCTTAACAGTCACCTCTGTACTTGTGACTCCCAGATCTGGGTCTCCAGGGCAGGTGTCTTCTGCATGGGAGCTCCAGACCTGGGCATACAGCTCTCAGTTGGATACCCCATAGTTGCCTCAAACCCAAACGTTCCATTTTCTTGAAAATATATTTATTTTTAATTTTTTTTATTGTTCCTGCGAGTGGCCAGCAGGGCAGGGACGCAGAACCAACATGTTTCTTTCTCTTTTAAGTTTTTATTTTAATTCCAGGATATTAACATTCAGTGTTGTATTAGTTTCAGCTGTACAACATATTGATTTGACATTGGTATACATTATGACATGCCCACCGCAGTAAGTGTAGTTACCCTCTGTCGCCGTACAAAGTTATAACAGTATTATTGACTGTATTCCCTATGCTTTACTTTACATCTCGTTAGCACCATTTATTGAACATGCTGTCTTTTCCCCCATCGATTGGTAGTGGG